TGGTACTTACCTGTGGCGCCATCGCTCCAGCTCCATCTTCGTGGTACCTGCATCAAGGCGCCAACTTCACAGGTTAGTACTGGACACAGAGAGAGAGAGAGAGTTYTTCTTCTTCCTYTTCTAAGTCCACCATCTCTTCTCACCCTCTCGCCACCTGACTTCTCAGACTACGACAGAGAGAGAAAGAGTTGTGACTTGAGACTTGACGACATTGGATCCAGACTGGACATTTGGGATTCAGACATTTCGACGAGGGACTATTTGGGCCTGTACCGAGACTTGGTGTTGACGACATTCCCATCTTCCCCTCCTCTTCGTCTAACCCCTCCTTCTTCGTCTGTGTATGGTTGGGGCTGGCGCAGTCTTCWTGTGTAAAGCGCCAGACCCCCCCCTCACACCAGATAACGATGATGATGATGTGTGTTCAGGGCTGCATTGCAATATTGATTGTTCGGATCATTCGTATCTAAGCCTTCCGCTGTGTTATCTTGTATTTGTATTGAGAGGTCGGTTCTTGTTCTGGTCTGCACGTTACAGTATGCAACAGTTCGGTATCGGAGCGGACCTCTCATTCAGAGGACCCGCTCAATCAAGTAGCCAGCTTGCTGATCTAGTGATCACTCATTAGTAACGCAAGTAGGACTTAGTCAAATCTCTGGAAAAAAAAATTATCGCGACAACTATCTGAAAATTTCTGATATTCGCATTTCTTTTTTCCTGAAAATTTCTGATATTAGTAGTTCGTTTTTACGTAACAAATATCTGAAAATTTCTGATAAATCGCATTTCGTTTTGTCTGAAAATTCCCGATAGTAGCTTTTCGTTTCTCTGATATTTTCGCATACATAGCTGAAATTTCTGAAGTTAGTATTTCGTTCTCTAGGCATATTGGGATAACGATAGAAGTGGTCATATTCTCGGAAACTGGAATTATTCTTTTCTGAAAATCGCATTTCCATTCTATCTCGCAAAATTTTTTTTGGAAAACCGAATCTTGCGAAGCCTACCAATATTGCGTTAGGCATATTCGGAGGTTGCTATATTCTCAGAAACTGGATTTCGTTGTTTTCTGAAAATCGCATCTTCACTCCATTTCGCAAAAAAAAAATAAAAAATTTACAAGATCGCAGTTGGTAAAAGCCAAAACTTTGCGGAACCTAGCCTAGATCTCGTTCATAGTACTCTTCTAACATGTCCTACTCATAATAGATCGACAGATATACAAAAAAAAAAAAGGAAGTAGTCCTCTTTTATTTTTATTTTATTTTATCTGTTGATTAGGGCCGGAGGAAGTATTGTTGGGTTGTTTGCCTACCTACGTTTTCCCTCCCACCCACCCCTTTGCATGCATTTCCGGGTTGGTACAGTGCCACGCCAGCTACAGTGACACGTCAGCTACACTGACACGTCAGCAGTGCCACGTCAGACAGTGCCACGTAAGCAGTGCCATGTCAGCAGTGCCACATCAGACAGTGTCGTGTCAGACACAGTGCCATGTTAGCAGTGCCATGTCAGCAGTGCCACATCAGACACAGTGCCACGTCAGACACAGTGACAGTGCCACATAAGCAGTGCCACGTCAGCAGTGCCACATCAGCAGTGCCACGTCAGACACAGTGCCATGTCAGCAACATGACGGGCCTGCCAGGCCAACTGGCCAATGAGCCCATTGCCGACTACAAAAAGCGCTTCCAGGCTCAGCTCGCTGTAATCGAGGCTGAGGAACAACGCCAGCTGGCAGCCAAGGCTGCCCAGCTACAGGCTGACGAAGCGGCAGCAGCAGAGAAGCTCCGGCTACAGGCCGAAGCAGACGCAGATGCCCAGGCTCGCTGCAAGGAAGCCCAGGATCTGCTGCAGCGGCAGGAAGCAGCCAGCGTTGACAAACTCAAATTCTGGCACTTTGAACCCAACGGCGACGACGCGACACCGGAAGAGCAACATAAGGAGTTTCTCTCCAAACTCGTGACACGGCTGTTGTACACTTGCAACTTCCAACAGTCCGAGTTGGAGAAATAGTACCAGGACCTGACGCAACAGCATCAGGAGTTGGCGAAGCTCCGCCGCACAGTGCAGAGCCACGAGGATGCAACTCGGGCACTCAATGCCCGAATGCTGGACCTGCAACAGGCTGTACCAGGACCAGCTGCTGGGGCTTCCAGCAGTGCATCCTCTAGCTGCCAACTGGAGGAACGCGTTGACCACGTAGTGGCAATGCTCGGCGACATCAGCACCTTCGCTGCGCCGACCACCATCAGCAGTCAGCCGCATACCTTGAAGACCGAGTCCCAGCAGCTGCAGCCGACGAATGCGGATGGCAATCCGAAGTTGTACAAAATGCCAACTTTCCAACTGGACAGGTTCGACGACTACACGCAGCAGGATCCGGTCCTCTGGTGGGAAGCATTCACAACGCAACTCAGGATTTTGCCCGTCGCCAAACACGCGTACATCGGCGCCCTGTTCATGAACTCAAAGGGCGGATGCCAGACCTGGTTGACCCACCTGGCAACCTCCCACGGCGTCAACGTACCGGACTTGAAGGACAAAATCACATGGGAGGAACTGACACGGCTGTGGAAGAAGCGGTTCATCGTCGACGACGCACCAACACTCGCCATCAACCGTCTGTTCACCATGTCACAGGGCAACACCGCAACACGAGATTGGCTCACGGAGTGGCAGAAGATTGCAGCAGTGCCCAATCTGGACTTGCCATTCATGCACTTACGCCGTGAGTTCTACAACAGGTCCTATGCTGCATTGAGCCAGGCTCTTGGTGATCGCGAGCAGTACTCAACCTTCGCTGAGATCATTGACAAGGTGAGGGAAATCATCAAGACCAACAGGTCAGCTGCACACGAGAAGTCAACATGGCAGCCGACCTATGTGGAGAAGGTACGAACTAGTCCGCGACAGCAGCACTTCGCTGCAGTCCAGTCAGACAATGGAGATAACCCAGCAGCCACTCCAGCATCAAGTGACGGAGATCAGGTGGCTGCTGTCCAGCCGCGAAGCAACAACAAGCCCCGCAACAATGGGAAGGCGAAATCCGCATCGCAGGTCGGAAATGGACAGCCAGTACAAGTTCCATGCTTGACCGAGGCGGAGTACAAGGTCTGTGGCCGCTACGGCAGCTGCTATTGGTGCAACACCAAGCATAAGACCTCCCTGTGCCAGGATCAAGGCAAGGAGGATGTGCGACCCCGCCTCAACTCGGGAAACTGAGTTCCGCGGAAGGTGAGGCGACTCCACCTTCTACTCCGCCAGATTCGTCGGCCTTGCTAGCGGCCTCCTGCACATTTGAGGAGGATGCGAATGTCCCAGGTTCTCGTTACACTTACGAGGACTATGCTGTCCACTTGGTTCCACCGCTGGACCAACCGCTCCACGTGCAACAACCTACCGCATGCACGGTTTCATCACCATCGGCAACCGATTCGGCAGCTTCGCCGCCATCTATCGCCGGGGATTCATCGTCATGGTCAAGACTTGAGGTGCTCGACCCACTGACGTTCACAGACTTCCAGTGGATGCCCTTTCCCCCGACCGGACGATTGCCGAAACCGCATTGCAATGTGCTCATGGCACACTTGCGGGATTACTTGCACACTGCAGAACCAGCTCCGTTGATGGACGCCGGAGTAGAGGTTGTCGACCTTCATGCTTACATTGCGAAGATCGACCGCGAGTTCAAGACGCAACGGTACGACGACATCGACGCACCATTGCTATATGTACGCATTCAAATCGGAGAGGCGACCTGCAACGCCTTGATCGATTGCGGAGCATCTCGCAACTACATCAGCCAGGACTTCATGGTGCGCGCTGGCCTTGGCCCACGCGTCCGGAGGAAGTCCCAACCTACGCAAGTCACGTTGGCGGACGGTCACACGCACAAGTCAATCGACCGGTGCATTGACAACGTCCCAGTGTACTTTGCCCCTCACTCAAGTAAGGCGATGTCCTTTGACATTCTGGACACCAAATTTGACATGATCTTGGGCATGTCATGGCTGCGAAGCGAGGATCACCCGGTGAACTTCTTCCACCGCACCGTTCACATTCGTGATCGGAACGGAGTACTAGTTCCATGCACGGTGCCTCTTCCTCATCCTTCGATCAACTGTCATGTGGTATCCGCGGCAAGCATGCGAGCTTCCATCATTAGAGACGACATCGAGGAAATGGGGGTGTGTTTTCTCCACGCCCTCCCGCCCCTTGACGCTTCATCGACGGACTCACCTTCGGATCCACGCATCACCGAGCTTCTCGACGCCTACAGCGACGTGTTCGAAGGCCCGCACGGAGTAGTTCCGGATCGACCCATCCGCCACGAGATCATCCTCGAGGACGGGGCCGTGCCTCCACGCTGTTGCATCTACCGAATGAGCGAGGAAGAGTTAAGTGTGCTTCGGGCACAACTCAACGACCTTCTGGAGAAAGGCTGGATTCGGCCTAGCTCATCGCCATACGTTGCTCCTGTTCTCTTC